GGACGTAGTTTATTAATCGAGTTGGTGATCCTAGCCACTCCTACCACTCCCACAACTGCTGCTTTGAATTCTTACGCTATTTACTAGTAGTACGACTGATTTAATTTAAATTGATAACCTCCCCAGTTCTAGACCTCAGAGTGTCCCTTTCCTGAAGTCGCTATGATCCTCTTGTGCACAAACCCTGAATGATACTATACAGGTACTGTTACTACTATCAAGCATGTCCCACGAAAAAACTGCATGTTCCCAGGAAGGTGGCTGATGAAGTTCGTGCACGGACAATTCTGGAGAATGAACAGCAGGAGCAGGAGCTTGCAGCCCGAGTCGCGCAGGCAACGTTCGAACAGATTCGCAGCAAGCTCGTCAGCGATTTCAAGCTGATGAAGTCCCGCCTGCTAGACAAGCAGTCAGAGGCGAAAGAGGCCGCCTTGGACGTCAAGTACATCAAAGATCGGCAGAGGAGAGACTGAGAGAAGAGAGAGTATTTTCGACAGCGTGCTATGTTAATACTATAACAAAACGCACGAATGTCAACAATACGTCGAGGGGTCAAACTGTGAGAAACAGTGGCATACTGCATTGAATAATAAATTGGCAGGAAGGGAGTCGCCTGGGTCAGCGACTGGATGTCCCAGCACTGCTGGATACAGACATGCCCGGACAATTCGAGCATCAACACGGCGGTGAGCCAGATTGCCAAGCGGCTGAGCTCCATGCAAATCTCCGGTCCAGTGTTGCGTGGTTTTTTTAGTATGATGTCAACTTATTATCCCGCTGTTTGTTTGCCCACCTCTCTGTCAGTCTCTCTCAGTCTTTCTCTCGCTCTCTCTCTGACACTAACAATCATATCAGATCATTCATGTCAATGTGTTCAGGCACGTCCTGATCACCATTGACTGCACAGTCTACCCCAGCGACGCGATGCACCTGTCGAAAATCATGGACGCCCTCGCCACGCTCCTCAACATGATGCCCAACAGCGTAGCGCACGTGCAGCTGCCGGTGCTGCAAGCCCAGACAACGGTGGAAGCGCGAATCAAACACTCGCGGCTGCTGGAGGACCTCATGATGACACGGCATCTTAGCCTCGGGCACAGTCTTTCCTTGATTTTCAAGAAAGACTCGGAGAACCGTGGGAACGACAAAAGAGTTTCCTCTCAGACGTGCCACGTCGTGTCCTCCGGTCACTCCAAGTTCTCTGCCAACTCTTGGTCCGCTTCGGAGGCCATCAGCAATGGCATCATCGAGAACTTGCCCCTGGTGAAGGTTGCAGACATGATGGGGTATGACAGTGAGAGTCGCCCGGGAGCTGCAGCCAGGGTGGAGCAGATCCTTTGCTTCGCTTTCATTTGTGCAAGTTTTCTGCTTCAGACGCAGATCTAGAGCCTCCAAAGTTCAACTCACCAAATCCCTGAAGGTTTAAACGCTAAGTTTCAACCTTTGGAGTTGAAATCCAAATGCCTGAGGAAGGGCGTTGCGTGCCATGACCAGATCCTCGGCCAGTACTTGCAAGGCATGAACTTTGGCTCCAACGATCAGATTGTGGTCTTGGACCTCATGCCAAACAAGCATTTGGAGTTTGCTCAGGCGGTTTTGAAGGGGAACCTCGGCGATGGCTCGAAGCCCATCTGCTACATGGGGCTGGCAAAGGCGCTGCAGCGGGACATGGTGGATAGGCTTCAGGAGGTCGTCTTCAAGCACTGGGACTCGTCGACTGATGCTCCGCCAAAGGCGCGACCTCGCGAGGAAGCAGTCGTCGAGAAGCCGCCCTTTGCGTTGCTGGGATGGAGCGGCTCCGTGCCGACTTGGCCATCGAATCTCATCGAGAATGCCGTTCCGGAGCACTCGGTTGAACGCAAGGAGTTGCTGGCCTTGCGAAAAGAGTTCGAGGTCATGGTTCCGCCGCCAATCGGCCGACAAGCGATCACGTCGAGCGAGCCAGCGCGGGCCACTGGAAGCCCAGACTTCTCGGCTGATGCGCCCTTGGATGTGGACCGACTCCTCAGTCTGGCGCCGATCCCCAACGACGAGTTCACCGCGACAAGGAGAAGGGGGCTTCAACATCAGAAGTCCAGCCTCCGTCTTTTATGCTTTTGAGATGCCAAATTTCAAAGTCAAACCAATCAGTGACACAGTGTAAGGCGTCACATCTCAGACCGCAATTAATTCTGTCCTAAACTCTAAACTAACCCGAAGAACCTCAACCCCGAAGCTTTCAACCAATAACCCGAATCACAAGTTGATTCAGATTCAGCCTCCATCTTTTTCTTTTGAGATGCCAAGTTTAAACCAATCAGTTACTGCACAGTCTAAGGCGTCAGATCGCAGACCGGGCTTCTGTCCTAAACCCTAAACTAACCCTCAGAACCTCAACCCCGAAGCTTTCAACACAACCAATAACTTGAATCACAAGTAACTTATTATTCAGCTTGCTTCTTTTTCTTTTGAGATGCGAATATTCAACCAATCAATTACTAACTTGTGTTTAACACAGTGTAAGGCGTCAGATCCTAGACCGGGCTTCTGTCTTAAACCCTAAACCCGAAACCCTACTAAGAAACTTAAAGCCTCGAAGGTTTCAACCATTAACCCTAAGTAAGTCTGCAGGATGTACTCCGCGGCACAGCGGGGCCGTGCACTGGTGGTTTCCAGTACGTTTGAGTTCTTCCTCGGCAACACTTCCGATGCAATCATCAACTGCGGGCCTTGCGAACTCGCGGGCTTCAACGTCGGACAGTTTGTGGAGAAACTGGTCGAGGGTCCTCATGGCAGCATTATTATTATAATATTACTGAAATCAGTTTCAACAAGTTTGTCATGGAGTCCTGCCCTGAGAGCCTTTAGCATAGATCAGTATCCATGATGCTTGAGGCTTGGGCGAGCAAGAAACCACCGGAATTCCATGGCGCCTGAAGAACGACCTCTCCCTGGTGGTCTACGGCAAGCAGGTCTTCCCTTTGTGCAAGCTGCTGCACCACTTCGTCACGGAGAAGGGCATCGCAGAGGTCGAGATCGTGGACCACAAGTTGAGTCCTCAGTTTCATGATGCGCCTTGACTTCAATCCCGAGGCTTCAGGGTCTAGATCCAGGGCTGCTGGGGCATCGACAGGGTTCATTTGACATTAAAGATAAGGTTTTGGGTTTAGGTTTATTAGGCTGTGTTGGGGTAAATTAAATTATTAAGGCATAGTTGAGCTGCTATGGGCCGGTTCTGGTCTGAGTCTTTTGGGTTCAAGGGCAGTCACAATGAATCCCATTCTTAGCGGTACCGTTACGGCGTATTAATTTGGGGATGTCAGGGCTTGGGGGCTTCAAGCTTTGCAAGTTTATTTCACAAGTTTGGGCTGAGGCATCCGAGGGCGCCGATCCGATTCCAGTTGCTTATCGCTACTGCATTTCTCCGACGGAGTCCAAAAAGACCAACGTGTTTCGACCCACGAAACTTGAGGAATGCTCAGAGGAGTCGCCGATCAAGATCTCGCAAATCGGCGCCGCTTTCCACGGAAAATTCGATTCCTTTCTCAAGGACAATCTCAAGGCCCAGGTGCTCTGGGAGGCTCGACGTGTTATTTTCTAGAATGCATCAGTTTCACAGTTTACTTCGGAGAGGTTCGCAGCACAGTTTCATGAACGAGCCTTGCAGGTAGACATTTTGGGCAATCGTCTGACACCGATCAAGCCAAAAATCTGGCTGACGTGCGCCTTGTCGTTGGACCCCTACACCTGGTACCGCCTCTGAGGAGCTCCTGAGACGTGAGTCGTAAAGCAGGGCTTTTAAAGCACACATGGCCAAACTTTTTATTAGACTAATATAAAATAATAAATAGCTGTGCATGGTAGTAACTGCTACGTAGTAGTTACCTGTTCCTTACTATGAGAGTTCTAATGTAATCACGTGCGCATGAGATCGAGAGTGGCCTGCTGTTCCACGACCTGCTGGCAGTTTTGTCCAGAAGACGAACAAAAAGGCAATCTTGCAGCATGAGCCTTTCGCGGCAGTGCTTGACTGAATGGAAGTAACAGCAGAATGAGCCTTCATGGCAGTGATCTCTCGAGGCCTTTCCCTGTCATTGCATACAGGTTAGTAGTAGATCATGCCCGTGCTGCCGCCTGTCAAAGAACTTAGTTCGGAGGACTGTAGCCAGGGGGATTCGTAGACTTTGTTTCCTTTGATTTTCCGAACGTCGAGGCTTGAAATGAACGTGAACTACAGTAGTTTCTGCTTGCAGGATGGAGATCCAGCGCCTCCTCCCAAACCACGCCGAAGTGCCTTGAAGAAAAAGCGCAAAGTTCAGGCCAGGGTTTCGTGGATCGTCAATAAACAATAAGAATCATGACACATAAGTTTCCAGGCAACCCCGGGTGAATCTGAAGCTGATGGTCAGACTGCGCTGCCAGACTTCGAGGTCGGGGGGTGAAAACCTACTAATTAATAATACTAATTATTATTATTATAATAGGTGCAAGTTACAGTAAACTTTCAACATATCATGTTGAGGATGCGGCGCCCAGTGCTCTCAAGGAGGATGACACACACGAGGACCCGTGCGACTGAACAACAGGATAACATGCTACTATTTCTATTATGCAACATGTCCCCCGTTCAGGATGCTGCGGCAGCCAGTGCTCCAGACAAGGACGTGCCGCACATCTTCAGCCGTTCAAGGGCATGAATTCATAGGAAGCTTGTGTTCAGGATCCTGAGACAAAGCCCCGAGCAAAGAAAGGAAAGAAGAAGATTCAGAAGAGTCGCCAAAAGAAGGTCAGGACCACGCCGGATATCAAGAAAGAAGAGGCCGCATGCTGCAAGCGCAACCCCTGCCATCAGGATCATGTTAGTAAGTTCAAACCTGAGTTAAGGTGTTGTGGGGCTCATGTGTGTTGTTCGCCTTGTAACGTGAAGACAGCGGTGCATCCTCAAGTGTCAAACAAACCGACGCTTTTAAAGCTCAGCTTCTGACGGGTGCATGATTTTGTTCCAAGTGCATCTGGAAGCGATGGTGCCAAGCTTTGATCATGAGACGATTCTAGCGGTGATCGCGGCTATCATCCTCGTGATCCTCTTCATCGTGCGGAAAGTCTGCTACACTGCTGGCAGTGGTCATCATCAGCATCATAGCGACTTCGTCAAGCACTACAAGCAGACATCATGGCTTCAAGTGGTTATCCTCTTCAGCTTCATTGGCTACATCAGCGGCGTCAAGTACACCGTGACCGTGGAGGTGAATTCTGATGGAAGTACTAACTATGGTGACCAGAGCATTTACCCCGTCAGGGCCGTGATCAACATAGAGTCTTCGACTTCTACGCCAACATTGTCTTTGAGCAGTCCTTCGGGTACAAGCGCTACGACTCCGGCTACATCGAGCACTACATGTCCATGGACTTCTTCGTCTTCGGCTACCTGGAGCTTGCCTGGCATTGGCGCTGATGATGATGATTCTGATGCTGGTTCCACTTCGCAGCTGGTGTGCCGTCCGGTGCAAATGTGCTATGTGATCGGCAATGGAAGGGGATTCCACACCCCAAACTGCGGCATGGTGCAGCGAGCCTTCCGTGTCCAGCCCCAGACAGTGCAAGGTCCTCTGTCGCCTCGTGAAGCACATCGTCTAGGATACAAAGCGTGTAGGCAATGCAAGCCTATTTGTTATTATTATGATGTGAACGGATCCACCCAAAGTGTTCAAGATCCGCAATCTGTTTCTGAATCTGTACAGTAGAGAACCTCGGTACCTTTGCGAAGTGTGCTCAACAAACTCGGAAAAAAGCTCAAGGATGGAACTCTCAGACGAACAAACATTATTATATTGCCGTGATTTTCACTTCGCTACAGGATGCTGCGCCGAAGCGCAAAGCAGAGTCAGAGCCAGAGTCTGTGAACACCAAGTCCAAGCCCACGGCGAAGGACCACCTCGTCGAGCAACTTTCTATCTCTATCCCTCTCTCTCTCTCTCTCTCTCTCTCTATCTCGCTCTGTGTCACTCTCTCTCTCTCTCTGTTTCCCCCTCTCTCTCTGACTCTCTCTCTCTCTGACTGTGGCTCTCTCTGATACAGACAGGGCCCTGATCGTCGCTACAGGACGTTGCGCCGAAATGCGACGTGAAGCCTGTGAAGAACAAGTCTACTCCCAAAGCGAAAGCCAAAGAACCTCGTTGAGCAATCAGTGTGCCACCGTGTTTGTTTGTGTCTGCTTGTCTGTCAGCACTGTGTGTTGTCCCCCTGAAACCTCAATCCTAAACCTGTCAAATTCATAATTCTATCTCAGGCCCCACTGAAAAAGCCGGCCGCAGCTGTGAATGCTACCTCAGGCTACTTGGACATAGAAAATAATAACAAGCTTCGGGTTTCATGTCATCCAACCGTTGCCAATTCAAGGCGGAGACAATGCTCAGCCTCCGGATTTGGCGAATCCAACGTATTACAAGAGCGGGAACCGATGGGCAGTCAAGCTGAAGAGCGATGGCCGCGAGATGTTTGGCGTTGCATGCGCCTCTGAAGCCATCACGAAGGAGCAGCTCCTGGAAATGATTGCCAGCTCCTTGGTTCTCGGAACATTATCAGTCCCGTGTCTCTGACGTATTCATCCTAGGTCATTGCCCGTGATCACTTCTTGGCTGGCAACACCCGTGAGTCCTGCAAAGCTTTGCTTGCAGCTGTGCTCAATTATTACAATGCCATGCAAGTACCTCCCTAAACCCTGAACCCTAAACCCTAAGTAAACCTGACTATCATTGATTTCTTACTATTCCGTACTGCTGCCAGGCAGAGTTGAAAGCCAGTCGCCTCGACCAGATCAAGGCAGCATCAGAAGCGGAGTCGGGCCAGGGCAGCTTCTTAACCACAATAATTCATAGTATTGGTTTAAGCTGATTTTTTCTTGGAAGTCTTGAATATTGTACTTGGAGGCCCTTTTGACTTAAAGTAGTAAGTAGGGTTAGTAAGGTGGGTTATGGGGATTACAATAGGGTTTCTAGGGGATACTAAGTAGACTTACTAAGTCAACAGGGCCTCCAAGTATGTTGCACATACGTTGAAGATGAGATTGGTTTTTTGTCAGCCTCAGGCAAGGGAGATGATGATTATGATGGCAACTATGATTATGACGGCGAGGAGTATGAGGAAGAGGGCCTGGTCTGGGATGCAGAAGTAAATGACGACACCCAGCTGCCCTAAGCGCGGACTAGCCATGCGGGCCCAGCACGCTTTGAGCCACTTCCGCACCGTTACAAGAAAGGCCTGGCTGAGGAAAAGATGGCAAGTTGAACGACGTGTTGCATGACATGACGAGGGCCTCATAACATGGATTGCATTTATCAGTCCATGTGATAAAACGCCGCCCATATAACAATTGGGCAATATGATTGATGACCTCGCAATTCTGGGAAGCACGATGCCTATCTGCAGCTGTGCTGCGCCGGGGGCAAGGTGACAGTCACTTTCTTCTCCTCAGCTCTTTTCGCCCGTCTGAGCCGGGGGGGGCATGGCCCTAACCTGGCTCCGGGTTCATCTTTTTATTATATAGTAACTCTGCTTCCGATACTCCGGCCTCTGCGGCGGCCCTTTCCGAACTTATCTTATTATTCCACGTGCCCATATAATAACACTCGGGCAATATCACACGCACACACACACTTTCTTCTCCTCAACTCTTTTCGCCCGTCTGAGCCGGGGGGGGCATGGCCCTAACCTGGCTCCGGGTTCATCTTTTTATTATATAGTAACTCTGCTTCCGATACTCCGGCCTCTGCGGCGGCCCTTTCCGAACTTATCTTATTATTCCACGTGCCCATATAATAACACTCGGGCAATATCACACGCACACACACACACACACACACACACACACACACACACACACACACACACACACACACACACACACACACACACACACACACACACACACACACTTTCTTCTCCTCAACTCTTTTCGCCCGTCTGAGCCGGGGGGGGCATGGCCCTAACCTGGCTCCGGGTTCATCTTTTTATTATATAGTAACTCTGCTTCCGATATAATAACACTCGGGCAATATCACACGCACACACACTTCCTTCTCCTCGATTCTTTTCGCCCACATGAGCCGGGGGGTCATGGCACCCTGGCTCCGGGTTCATCCCTTTACTTCTCCGGCCTCTGCGGCGGCCTTGAACTTTCTTATATTATATTCTGATTCATTTTCCCATATTTAACAATCGGGCAATCCACACACACACACGCACTACACAGTCACACACATACAATAAACTCCAAACCTATCGCCTAAATCAACCCCAAACCTTAAACGCCTCCGAGAAACCCCCTAAACCCTAAACCTTGGCTCAAGTTTCGGCTCAAGCTAGGTGCGGCTCGCTTGCGGCGAGCCTGTGAATGCCTAGATCCTACTAGTCTATGGTCAGGTCTTGGCTCAAGGTTGAACGTCGTTCTGTGGGAGATCTGTGGCTCAATTATTTATTGAGCTAGGATAAGACCAAGAAGGTTCAACGGTAGCGAGCCAGCCAACCCTAAACCCTAAACCTTAAACCCTAAACCCTAGAATGTCTTGGCTCAAGTTTCGGCTCAAGCTAGGTGCGGCTCGCTTGCGGCGAGCCTGTGAGTGCCTAGATCCTACTAGTCTATGGTCAGGTCTTGGCTCAAGGTTGAATGTCGTTCTGTGGGAGATCTGTGGCTCAATTATTTATTGAGCTAGGATAAGACCAAGAAGGTTAAACGGTAGCGAGCCAGCCAAGCCCACCCACCGAACCAATTCGACACACCGATTGCCAGGATAATGCCATCAAGGCAACGCCTGGCTGGAGAAGCTGAGGCTTCTCGACTATATTGTTTTTTGAATACAACGTCCAAGCATAAGAATGCTGCAGCAAGCACGTTATTGCTTTGAAGCTTTATCAGAGCAGCGCGACTCAGCAGTAGTAAGCATCGTGATCTTGAGTCCTGCCATCAGCAAAGGAAGAGCATCAAACCGAGCTCCTGGAATGACTTTCTTCAAAAGCCAGGCAAGTACATCATCGCCTACGAGCAGCACTTTGTTTCTGCTCGACACCAAGAGGATGAGGTGTTAATCAACATGGGAGGTCGCACGCATGAGTTTGAGTCCTTCCAGCTCACGCGTCAAGACCGCGGCATTCGACGCCATCCTGCCACCGGCAAACTATGTGTTGACGACACCAGATTCGACCATGTGTTCGAGCTTGTTGACCATGTCGAGCCAGCTTTGGTTGCGGACTACTCAGGTGGCAAACTTGTCCAGGAAGCTGCCGTGGATTTTGAAGAAGTGTGGAACCAGCTTCAACTCCAGCGGCAGGATACGGATGGTGTGGTTTTGCGTCATCCTCAGCCGCAGCGCATCGTGAATGATCGCAATCCAGATCTAGTAGAAGCTGCCGTGGATTTTGCAGAAGTACAGAACCAGCTTCAACTTCAGCGGCAAGAAACTGATGGTGTGTTTTTGCGTCATCCTCAGCCGCAGCACATTGCGAATGATTGCAATCCAGATCTAGTTTCCGACACCGGCAGCGAGGAGGACGGCTTATAAAGGTTTACGAAAGCACTTTCGGCAGGGCGTTTGGGGGCCCTGAAGTGATTCAGAGCCGACTTGACTTCGTGGGTGTAGTTTCTTAGTGACCACACACGAACTTGCACTCTGCAGTTCGTTGCGATTCGAGAGACCAAAAAAGTGTTGAAAGTAACAACATAATCTTGATTCTTGCGTTAGCCTCCCGTGCTTGTGCATGTGGTTTTCTTTGATTTGCGGAGAATTTTGTGATTTGTGCCATTGCATCTGTGCAGAAGCATAGAAGCCTGATGAGTTCTTGCCATGGAGAAATCAGTTTTTCGTTGATTCTGCATCCTTGGCTGCGTTCGGCTGCAGTGCTTTTGGGCCTTTTTGGAGTTCCCGCTGGCATCGACTTTGGTTTTCTCGGCTGAAGCACGATTTTCTGAGGTAGTCTCCAAACATGAAGACGACCGTATCAGTCCAAACCATCTGTGCTGAAGCTGTTTTGATGCGTGGTATAGGCTTGTGCAACAGTGTTTTGAGTTATCCCGTTTACAGAAAGCCATGGTGCCTGGTTCTTTTCTCTAGTGATATCACCAGACCATAAACGTCTTCCAACATCAGACCTGCGAGCAACGTACAGAAGTGAGCTTCCTAAGTCATGGAGGCCATGCTGTGGGTTGTATGTCTGTGGACTTTGCCTTTTGTGTGGCCAACCAGAGGTGCGACTCCAGCTTTCGAAAACCTGGTTCATTTTTGGCAGGGTTTGGGCTGCTTTTGCAGTGGTTTGGTTAGTTTGGTGTCGGTCCGACCGCTTTCTGCCAAATGCTGCAATTTGGGATGGTCTTGCTGCTGGGTTGGTTGGGGCTGGCTCAGGATGGCTTGGGGTGTGACCCACGGCGGGCCTGCTCGACCTGCTCGCCCGTTGCTCGACCGTTGCTGGATGCTGGGCCCCGGGCTGCTCGACCTGCTCGCCCTTTGCTCGACCGTTGCTCGACCCTGGGCCCTGGGCTGCTCGACCTGCTCGCCCGTTGCTCGACCGTTGCTCGACCCCTGCGTGCCCCTGCTTTTTGCGCCCCGTGTTCAGTGTGTTTCGTTGCCACCTCTGCTGACAGCTTGGGGCGGGGCGGGTGCTCAATTGAGAGCCAAGTGGCTCCAAAGCGTTGCGTGGATCCTGTTTTCACCCAGAACTGAGGGTTTGCTGTAGGAACCAAGCAGGGAATGATGTTTCTTTCTGTGGAATTCCAGGATTCCAGGCTGGTTTGAAGTGGGTTCGTAGATAGGTGTATCTTTGCTAAATTTTCCGTTGCTGCTCGGAGCATCGAAGAAGTAAAGTAGCGGCTGCTCAAAAAGCATTCGAAACAACGTGTGATCAGAGTGCAAGATGTGCGAAAGTTTGATCCAACATGCATGTTACTGGAACTGTTTTGTTGAGCATGCTTGTTGATGCTCCGACGTTTAGGATGGCTATAACCCATTGTATGTTAGATCAAAAATGCTCCCGCTTTGCTCGGAGCATCGAAGAAGTAGCAGCTGCTCAAAAGGTGGCCTGCGTGTGATTTGTTTTGTTGTGGGGTGGGTGGGGGTGGGGAAGCGGGAGCATTTTTGATCTAACATACAATGGGTTATAGCCTAAGAAGCACTAAAATTTTAGCGCGTTCGGAGAGGCCACTGTTTTTTGCATGTCTATTCCACCGTGAGATGCACGGTAGTTCCCAGAACAATTCGCCCCCTCTTAGCCCCGCAAGATTTGTCAATCCCACATACAGCATAAACCGAACAGCGTGCCAAGATTTGTCATCGGAAGATCGTTGCTCGGACAGCCCGTTGTGTTTATGTAGCTTTTTTCTGCGTGGTCTGGCTGGCGCCCCTTGTGTACTCTCATCTTCGCAGTTCCGGTGCATCGGACCCTTGGGGTGGCCGAATGCCTTCGCAGACGTGGAAGTGTAAACCTTAGTAGGACGGCTTCTGGGATGTTCGCTCGGACTGGCTCGAGCGTTTTCGAGCTCGAAGACAGCAATCAGAGAATGGACTCTTGATGCCACGAACTTATAGTACCTGTGGTAGAAGCATGATAGTAATCGTGCTTAGACGGAGCTATGCATGCAAGCATCAAACCAAAGCGTCACCTGGATCGAACTAAGGACAGATGCTGCAGCAAAACGAGTTGGTTCATCGCCAGGCCTATAGCTTATTGCGTGTCGAGAGAATCATGACAACCAACGACGTTCCAGCCGAGCAGTTTGCTTCCAGCTCATCCATTTCTCGGCGGCGCATCACAATGGAGTACTTCGGCGGTGTCCTACCAGGCTTGGTGGATGGACAGCAGCTGGACTATGCTGGTGGCGGCAGTTGGACAAGTGACGAACCTTATCCAACTGCTTTGGACTTTTTCAATGGCCAAACAGACTTTTTTCAGCATGAAGCGGACAAGCACGTTGCAGTGGTTGTCAAAGTCATGCGAGAGCATTTGAACCTCTTGCGGACGTCGCCGTTGGCTGTGGCATTTTTACCAGATCCTCTTTATCGAAACTCGATATCGAAGAGACTCTGGGAACGCCTCATGTACCGAGCCAGGGCAATCTTAGATTTCGTGGAGCAGAAGCAGCACTACATGCTCTTTGCATTTCTGCACGCAGAGGCCAAGCATGTAAAGGCCGGTTGCAGAAATGCTGTGCAGGACTTGCCACACCCGAAGGAGTACGGCGGCACCGATGAAGAGTGGCGAACGCTTGCACTGGAGCACGCTCTTCAGCTTCACCTGGATTTAGCCTGGCAACAGAAAGAGCGCGGCGATTTCAAGAAGGCGATTCTCTCCGAAAACGACTACACTGGAGGTAGTCTTTCGGCAGACATCCTCCATGCCTTACCAGGATACTTCTTTTCCTTTCACTACCTGAAGAATTTAGCATGTGCGTCTTCTGAAATGAGACGCGCCGTGCAGAACCCAAAGCATTGGAACGACAGGTGCATCTCACTCAACTCAGTCGAGTTTACTGATGGTCTGAAGCTGAGATGCATGACGCGGGCCTATATGTCCGCTCGCGCCGTGTCTTTAGATCTACGACAACTTCCTTTGCTAGGTGAGTTTCCAAACAGTATGTTGCTTGAGTGGACTGGTCGGGGCCTTCCACAACTCCGCAACCTGACAGGCTTCGAATCGGCTGGACCGTTGCTGGGCACTGCTGTGTTCGATGTTATTCTGCCCCCCAACGCAGTGGGCATGTACCTTGGCGTTCGTGACTGGGGAGATCGAAGCGGAAGGAAGCAATCGTTCTTCCGCTTTGATAATATTTACACGGAAAGTGAAACACTTTCCTTCGCTTCGGGCGATCTGCCACCGCAGCTTCACCGCAAACCACAGCGGGTGTCTTTGCAAGCTCAGCAATCTCATCGTGTTTTGCTTCGATGGAAGCAAGACGTGATGGAGCTGATTATCGATGGTGTCGGAGTTGCCAGAATCCGACCTAGGGAGAGTTCACCGGCGCTCCCAGGTCCACTGGCCAAGTTTTTTTTGTGGGTGTACGTTCGGCCTGGCACGACGAATGTGGCGCAGGAGCTTCGGTATCGCCCTGTTCCAGCTCCCATTCAGCACAATGCTTCCATTACTTGTTTTCTTTGCCACAGAGATCATGATCTTTGCCTACCCAGATGGCGCGTGTGTCCCAACTGCTGCACATGGATCTGTGCATCGCACGTACTCCAAAACCCAACAGACATGTGTCCACGCTGCTTCAATCAACTATGGGACTACGTGGGTGGTGAAGATTCCCAGAACCATTGCAGCGTGCCGCAGCGTGCCTGTGTGTTGCTTGGCTGATATTTGCTGTTACGTGAAAGCTTCGCGGAGTGTGGAAGTTGTTGTGCTTTTAAGTTTTTCAAATAGTCTCTGATCAGGTTGTGTAAAGCCACCTAGGTCGAGTGGACATGAGATGCAAAGTGGAGGAGTATGAAGGAGGCGCCGTGTTGGATGAGCTGCTCGCGGAATTGCCAGGATTTTACTTTTCGTTTGACTATCTCAAGATGCTAGCGTCTGCTTCCAAGACAATGCTTCGCGCCGTGCGGGATCGTCGACACTGGCAAGGCAAGCTTGTGACAATGAACACTGAAGAATTTCAACTTCCCATGAAGCTGAGATGGATGATGGAAGCTTACATGTCTGCACGTGTCGTCACCATCAACGTTCGTCAGCTCACCATGTTTACAGTTTTTCCTCGCAATATGCTCTTGGACTGGAGCGCGACAGCCATGTTGGGCGGCCCTGGTCCTGCAGTTGTGCCAAATATGCCAGGGACAGGGTTTCAGTCAACCGGTCCTTTGATGGGAAATGCTGTATTTGACATCATTCTGCCGCCCAACACAGTCGGCATATATATTGGAGTCCGAGACTGGTGTGACTTGCGTTCTCGGACGCATGCCTACTGCATGTTGGAGAATATTTTTGAGAATGCACAAGCCTCGTTTGGATTGGGAAATGGTCCACCCCAACCACACATGAGTGCCCGAACAATTCGGTTTCAACCCGACCACACCCATCGCATCGTCTTCCGATGGAATCCGAGAATGTTCCAGATTGCACTGGATGGCGTGAACGTAGCCACAGCCCGTGCTCGTGAAGGAGCTCCAGCTGCGCCATGTGCTTTGGCAAAGCTTTTTTTTTGGGTCTATGGCCGGCCTACCAGGAACTTTGTCTTGCTTCAGTATCGCCCAGTACCATCTCTCGTCGACAACAACGCCACAATCAGGTGCGTTATTTGCAACAGGGACCACGGGCTGCATCTGCCTCGCTGGTGTGTCTGTCCACACTGCGACACATGGGTTTGTTCGGTTCATGCTGTACACCTTCCTGAACGACTGTGTCCACGATGTCCGAACCAGTTGATTGATTACATCGGTGGAAGTACTGAAACGGCAGAGGCTTTCCCACATGCTGTGGATTACGTTTACAGCAGAGAGCAGAAATTGCAGAACGGCATGACCTTTACTGCGTCGTCCGAGAAGGAGGAAGGGAAGGACTTTTGCGGCGGGGCTGCTGAGGAATTACATCTGGTGTCTAACAACATGACGTTCAATACATGGTTGCGTTTCAGCTCGAGTCGGTCCGAAGCATGGTGCCGGCGAGAGAAACGACGCAGGTTGCAATGCAACCGCAACAAGAGCAGCAATGGTTGGTCGGACTTAGTCCCGCTTGTTGTCCTACTTACGGACAAGGCACGTCAAGCATTCGCATTCCCATCGAAGCTTGCGTGCAGGCGCCTCGGTTGCTGCTCGACTTGATACCGCAGGATTTTACGCATCTGCCAGCTGCTCAGCCAGATTGCAGCTTGCTGTCTCGCCTGCACGAACATGATCGGGACAAGCGAATCAACTTCCTGTCAGAGACTCACGTCTACTATGTGGACGGCGTCCCGATGAGCATTTCCGTGACTGGCTTAGTTCACAAATTCGCTGAAATTTTCGATGCGGACGGTGCAATCGCCAACATGCAAAACAGTTCAAGATGGCCGCGCCCTGAATATTCCAGCGTGCAGACAAACGGCATGCTCCTGCCCATGACTGCCGCGGAGATCAAGCACATGTGGCTTCAGAATTCTCGAGATGCAGCTCACCGCGGTACATGGATGCATCTCCAAATCGAGGTCCTTATGAACGGCGGTTTCGTAGCTGGTCATTGGCCTGAGCTGAAGTTGTTTGGTCAATTCCTAAGAGAATTCTCCCGTCCCTTGCTGGCATTTCGCACCGAGTGGTGCATTTTTGCAAAGGAGCACAGTTTGGCCGGTTGCATCGACTTCGTGGCCAAAACATCGAACAACAGCCTGGTCCTGTTCGATTGGAAACGAACCAAAAACCTGCGCATGAAATACACCAACAAATTTCGGAATATGCATTCGCCTTTGAATCATATTCCAGACTGCGCAGGTTGGCACTACCGCCTGCAGCTGAACACGTACAAATACATCCTAGAGCATCACTATGGCTATGTTGTGTCTGCGATGTACGTCGTTTGCCTTCATCCTGACAACATGGAGACAGGTCCATTCCTTGACGAGGTTCCCAACATGTCGCACGACGTGGCTGCTATGCTAACGGCAAACGCAGGCGGTAAAGATGTTCCTTGGCAGGATGTGGCGGGCGGCGCAGATCCCGATGCGGGCGCTTCGCAGCCATCCTTCAGCGCCCGCCTGGCTGCAGAACAGGAAGAGATGGATGTGGCAGAGTCGCCAGCTGACAGAGCAACGCAGGATAATGAAGCTTTAGCACTGGCATTGACTCAGAATGGTTCGGAAGCTCAGAACGACCTAGCCTTGGCCATACCATCTGGCGACCTTCCTGAGGAAGCCATTAGCACTGCGAAAAAAAGGCGCTTGATGCCACGTGCAACCAACTCTCACGCAGACTTCGAGGACTTATTCGACTTGAGCGCAACAGCATGTTCCTTTTCCTTGTCTACATGTCCTACTGTCGAGAACAACTTCCCGGTGGTGTCTGTAAAGGAGCAAGCGAGGAAACTCATCGAGTATATTCGTGTTAGGCAACCAACCTGGCCCGAAGACATGGTGCGCCTCGCTGCTTCGGCATTAAACGTTTACCGGACGCGCTTCACGGATATCTTCGTCCGTGATCTCGTCAGTCTTATTTGGATGATTGAAGGCGACAGATACATTCGTGCTCATCGCGGTGTATGCTACTTATACCATAGTGATGGAGCGTTTGACCCCTACAACGGAGTGCCACCGGAGTCAACATTTTACAGGCTAAAAAAAATTCTGTTGAAGTTAGAGGGCCTTTTTCGGCTTATGTCTCCAGCTACTGATCGCTCTGATGCCGCTATTCATAGAGAAATTGTTCGACTGCTGGCAGAATTCAACAACGTCCATGATTTCCTGGAGGCTTGCGAAGACACAGCCGTGATGCAGACGCAACGGCAATGCCTCGTAGGGGACGAGCTGCACAGGAAGCCGAGCCTGCCCCGCATTCAGGTTGGCCGGACAAGACAGCCTACATGCTTGCGAAAGTCTTGGCACCGCTGCAGAAGGATTTGCTTGAAGAACGACTCTAGGTGTAAGGAGTTTAAAGCCTGCTGTCTAAGTGTTTTTGTAGACTGTAACCCTCAACGATGCAGTTGTTAAGTCCTGCAAAGTGGCTTTCGCAGAGTAGCTAAGGACGGCTCCTTCACTTCCTCATCCAATGGTGTGACACACCCTCTCAGCGGCAGGCTGGGTGCGCCTACCAAGACATCTCGGTGGTTTATGACGTAAGTCCTACTGAACATGTAAAGCTGGTCTTGCCATCGCCAGAGAACAATCTGTATGTCAGAATCTCCCATCCTTTGCAGCCACACTTGCCGGATCCTGTACTACGTGACGCCAAGCTTCGACTCGAAAAGTTTGTCAAGCAAACCTTTTGGTGCAATCAGCAGTACTACAAGGCGACCCTGGCGGCAATCGGGCTAGCGAAACGTGGTGAAAACATCGATCGCTGCTTTATCGGCGAATCTGCCGGCGGAACTGGCCAGTCTCTGTTCAGCAGCCACCTGGCTGCTGTATACAGTCATAACCACGCATTCATCGACCCGAATCTCTTCCATAATGAAGAAGAGATGCGAAAGCAGCTCGAGCAGTTTGCTCACTGTTGGATCATCACCGCCCAGGAAGCCCCGGAAACCCACCGGCACTTCCAGCAGGACTTATACAAGAAATTCATGTCGGCTGATGATCTTGCGGGTCGCAAACCGTACGGTTTCGTTACAAAGATGATGCGGGTTTGTGGATTCAAGAGATTCGAGACCAACAAAATCATGACTTTCCGAAACGTCATGGAAACTAACTTCAACTCAATTTACAGACGCTGCCTGGTGTGGAAGCCTCAGCCAATCTTTGTGGAGAACACATCCTTTGGAGATGCTTACAATGATCCAGATGTTGATGGCATCTTCGAGAAGGATCCCACCCTGCGAAGTTTTCTCGAAAGCGGTCCGGCTATTGCAGCTGCGTTACAACAGCAGCACGGCTTCGAATCTCATTACTCTCGACAGGACTGTTTTCAATTGATCGAAGACTACGCCTTAAGCGGCCTGACGGAGCGCAAAGTCAGAGAAGCTTGTGGCCTGCGTCCTCGGGAGGACCAGCGCCACAAGCGCATTTACTTGCCTAAGAGTCCAGCTACTAGTGATCGGTCTGTTTTTCTTTCGTTTGCATATATTTGTCTCATTCTTTCTCTCTTTATTTCTTTCTTTCTTTCTCTCTTTCTTTTTTTTTCTTTCTATGCCTCTCCCTCTTTCTTTTTTTCTCTCTGTCTGTAGTCAAGGTGCTATGCTGTAAAGATAATATAGACCTTATCAAGAGGTTCCGTCAATATGCGTGGGTCGTTCCCTTTCATTGGATGGTCTGTGTGCGCAGGAGCCGACCGCGGAGAATCCGCACAGCAATTTCGCCGCGATGCTGAAGCGGACTGAGGAGGAGGCCGACCAGGCAGTGCAACACACCACGCCTGTTGAGAAAGCACAGGCGGCAACCGTGAAATATTTCTTGAAGACAGACAAGGCACAGGTGACAAAGACTTGGTGGACACGGTTTGCCAAAGCCAAGCTCGGATATAGCAAGGACATGTTCGAGGAGTTGGTCAAGGAAAATGTTTTTCTTCCAGTGGATTCAAAATCAGAACCAGAGAATTTCATTCCGACCATACCATGCACGAAGTCCTTGGAGGATGTCCTCATCGTCGGGTATGAGTCTGAGGCAATCGTGGTGCGGGAGCGTCTCAATGCCAGGAAACTGTGGGACGCTGTGGAACGCAATGCTGCTCGAACTGCAAATGCCGAACTCCTCGTGCATTTCTACTCTCACGTGATATCCAGGTTAGAGTCCGGAAGAGGCCGTAAATCTCTGCAGCATTTAGAGAAACTTGCTCTTTGGCGAAGCTTTCATGACAAACTACGGAAACACGAAGACTGTGCTGGCGGACTGCTGGACTTACTGGAGAAGCAGCTTCCACAAACGACTGAGCAACCTCGCGAGCAGCCATGTACAGCAAAAGCGAAAGAGACGCTTACTCGTCGAGCTATAAGAAAGAAATCTTCTGTCGCAGCACTTGAAGCATCATCTCCAGGCCAGAGCACGTCTTCATCAAGTGGTGTACGACCTGCAAATCCTTTTGAAGCAGGCGACGGCTTTGTCGAGCTTGATGTCACTTATAAGTACAAGTTGCCGTGTGTGCGTACTCGCAAATACGGAGACTGTCATTCTGTGCAGAATTTGGGTACCGCGTGGCAGGCGGTCGCATTGGCAGATACGATAGATCTCGACATTGAGAACTGCTCCTTCACGTTGCTCTTACAAATCTTAACCAAATTACAGCCGAAGCACGAGTGTTGGCCGGCAGTCAAGGAGACTTTGCGTCTTTGTGCCAAGGAGCGGAAGCATGTTATCGAGAATACACTGAAGCTGCCTCTGTCGGAAGGAAAGCTGCTGCTGCAAAAGATTTTGAATGGCGGCTCGCCACCCCAGGAGCTTGCAGGCAACACCTTCGTGCAGGAGCTGCAGCAGGCATCCTTGTTTTGCCGGTGGGTAGCGGCGACAGTGCTCAAGGACACAGCTTGGCCTTCCTTGGTACAAATGAAAGAAAGGCCAGACGTTTCCGTCCTGACCTACTTCTGGAATATTGCTGAAGATTTGGTTCTAGATTCCTGGCTTGGCAAGGTGCAGCCACTGCAAAGCAAACACATGTCATTGCACTTTGATGGCATCAGAGTAGATCGCGACATCGCGCAGCCTGATGTGAAAGCTTTCTGTAAAAGCTGCAGCGATGCCATTTTCGAGGAAACCGGCCTGGACGTCCATATTCGTGCTAAAGAACGATACACCTTTCACGCTTTGTTGACGCAGGTGAACGACAGTAAAGCAGTCGAGTGTCCTGAGAAGTTGCGTGAACCAGGAAATTGTATACTCGCAGCACTACATCATCTTGGTTTACAAGAGCAGGCAAGTTCCATGGCAGATATGACAGAAGGCCCGGAGCACACTTTTTTTTTGCGACGCCGGCAAAGAAGGTATTCGCAGGTTGCCGAGAAGTTGATGCTCCACATCTTTGCTCGACTTCCGTCAGGTAATTTAAAGTCAGGCCAGAAGGTTCTTCTTCATCTTGCCACGGACGGCAACCCGCACAGTCTTGCTATGGAGGTCCTGCCGGGGGAGCAAATTTGTGTGACGGATGTCAACGTCAGCTACACTTTTCCTGTCCAACATCTTGCACACATGCTGTCGGAAGCAACCGATCGTAAGTACATTCTCTTTTTCTACGTGAACCAAAAGCCCGCAAAGAACGAACGTGATGCAGAAGACAAGGAATATGAGATGCTTCTGGACACCTTGGCAGGCGGCAAGGAACATGGATATGACGAGTTCGTTAAAGACCTGGAGTTGCCTGTTGTGGACGAGAAAGAAGAAGACGATGACGCGGCGGATGATGATGAGAGCGTGACCAGAGTGAGTGACAAACTTCTGGAAGTACTTCGCAATGAGGTCACTGCTTTACTGAACATGAAGTCAGCCAAAGTGTCTTCAGAGGTGAAGAAGAATGGGCGTGCAGTGTGTCCCTTTTGTCCGATGCGGTCTTGGAATAATAATCGGCAGGATCGTGTTCTTGAGCATGTCAGACAGTATCACTCAGAGAGAAAGCAATTCGTGGCTAGTGGAACGAAACAACTCAAGATCATCATTGCGCTCCACGACCACGATCAATGCCGGCGACAACCTCTAAGGCACTACCTGCGTCGCAGCGCTAGTCTACTTGCCGCATCCTTGGACGAGACTATCTCGACCAAGCACATGCTTATCGACAAAGAGATAAGACTTGTTTTCACAGGCGACGGTCCCCAATATTGGTCTCTGGCAGCTGTGCAGCAGGGCGAGCTGCGCCGAGTACGTAATTTGTACTACACCCGATCATTCGGTCAGCTGGTCTTCCGGGAAATATTGATGTGCAGCGCCAAGGCAGGAGTTTTAAAATACAGAAGTGTCTGTGTCGTAGTCCTTCAAAGAAGCTCTGCGCATGAGATGTGGTATAACAGAGTCTAGGCAGTTCGCTCTGCAGGTGTACGCGCTCCATGCTCGACTTCTGGCCACCTTCCCCGGTGAGACTAACAGCCTCCTACCTCGGCATGTCAATCACTGGTGGCCATTGGTCGAAGACATTTTCATGTCACCGCGCATCACAAGCCTGGAGCAAGAGCTAAAAGCGGAACTAGTCCATCATGAAGAGTTCGAAGTAGTAAGTATGGACGCAACGCTGCGCTGCTGTTTGCCCATCATGGGCCAGGCACACCCCAGGGCATCCCGCGAAGAAAAAATGCGAGCAGCTTTTCATGGAGAAACAGCGCTGACTCGGGCCTTTTGGTTGCACCTATGCCAATTGTTTGTTTTGCTTGGATTGTTTTTGTTGTATAAGTCTGTATAAGTCAGCAGAAGCGAGCACTGAGGTCGTCACTTGTCGTGGACGAACGAACGCAGTTCTTATGCTGTGTGCCACGACAACAGACGAGGCTGATGTTCTTGTCGAGGCCATGGCTAACAATCTCCCAGCATCTGGCCTCCGGCAAGTGCGATGCGTGGCTGTCGACAACCCGTCGACTAGGCTATGGCAGAGTCTTCGTCACATTTGTCCGAACCTGCAAGTTCTAGCTCTCGACCCAGTCCATCTTGCGATGACTTGCGAATATGCATCGGGTCGCAAACGTACAGCATTAACTAAGACTTTGCGTCTCATCTTGCGCAAGTTGACTGTACACAGTCCACATTGCACTGAGAAGACGTGGGGACCTGTTTTCAGGGGCGACAACTGCAAGGCCCTAACTCGGGAAGAAGAAAAAGCTCGGTCACAGATCGAGGATCGCAGTATGCCTCTGAAGAAAGCGACGGCGCTGCTGGAGAATTTGGATGGCTCCGTTCCTTTCTTCGAGCGGTGCGAGTGGACTCAGTCTCTGGCCGCTGTGGCAGCTGTTTACCGTGACGACATGGATCGCGTCGTACCTGGCCCGAACCGCAAAGTTGTGCAGCTACTACACACGGCAGCGGCTGCAGCACGGACGGAGTGGTATCTCAACAACCTCCGTGCCCGACATATGATATCATCCAAGAGGCTCAGCTTGCTTCCTGTCGGCACCACGTCCAATGAATCTTTACATCACGAGATCAACAATTTCTTCAGAGAGACCCAAAAAATACACAAAACGACCTTGTCCCTGAAGCTGAAGATTCTGCAACTTTCCAAGCTCATGACCCACAATGCCGCTCTTCTGGGCGGCCTTTAGCAGGGAATGAGGGAATGAGTGGGGCACGGCGCCAGCGCCGATCTCAGCACTGGGGCACTGCTTGGATGCGAAAGACATCGGCGACAACTCGCACTTCCTAGCACTGGGCACCGCTGCGAGGCCAAACCAACGGCAACAAATCATACTTCTTAGCACTGGGACTCCACTTGGAGGCCAAAAAACGGCAACAGTGCGATGTACAAGTCCAACGGATTTAAAATCCGTTGGACTTGAATTTGACGAGGTTCCAAACTGCCAAAAGACCCGCTGATGCACATGATACTCGGCCCCTGCCCTCCCAGACACAAGTCCAACGGATTTAAAATCCGTTGGACTTGCGTCTGGGAGGGATTTAGCTGGAATTGAAGCCCGAAAAAACCCACTGATGAAGGTCTTTCCACTCACATGTTACTATTTGCTTGAGTACTAAGTAGCAGTCGTCGTCGTGGTAGTGGTAGCCCTGGTGGCGGTAGTCGTGGTAGCGGTAGTGGTAGTGGCAGTGGTAGGGGTAGTGGTAATGGTAGCGGTAGCGGTAGTGGCAGTGCTGGTGGTAGTGGTATAGTGGTAGCGGTAGTGGTAGTGGTAGTGCAGTTGCAGCAGTAGTGGGAGTAGTAGCAGTAGTAGCTGTAGCGGCAGTAGTAGAAAGGGTAGTAGTTGCAGTAGCAACAGCAGCGCCACAGCCCGGCCTTGTTATGCAGGTTTTTTGCTTCACTTGGCGGGTTTGGGTGGTATACGCGGGAGTTTGAGCGGTGGGGTGGGATTCAGGCTTCAGGCTACTTGGAGGATCACGGGGTTTAGTAATTTGGGCTATAAATAAGGTAACTATACTTATAACTCCAACTATAGGGTACTTATAACCTTACTAAGTCCCGTGATCCTCCAAGTAGGGGTTGAGGTCGCAGGCAGCACGACGAGAAATTCCGTTGGCCTGGCCTTCCTCCAGCGGTTCCTCTCCGGGCGGGCGGCTTTGGCGAGCAGCACTCGCGACGACCCGCCGCTTGCTCGGAGACCCCAAACCGGGCACTGCCGAAAAAAGAAAGGGGAGGGGGGAGGCCAGGCCAACGGAACGTTCAAGGGCACCCGACCCTCACCCTAGCCCTAACCCTGGCATATGGGGCCGTGGGGTGGCTGGGGGTGTGGCAGTGGCGGTGGGGAGGAAGGAAGGAAAACCCTTGCAATGATACACTACGTGCGTGCGTGCGAACGAACCGGGGGAGCATCATATACCCACCTAGCAAAAAAGAATTTCCACGCCTACCTAGGCGACGCGAATTTCCACACCCACCAAAAAAGAATTTCCACATGTCGCCCGCTTCGCCCAAGGATTTTGCTGACCGAAACCCTTGTTTCAACACTGGAGGCGAGGGCGCCCTAACAGGGGCGACTCGTGACTGAAACCTTCTTCTTCGTACAGTCCAGGGCGCCCTGGGTTGTACTAAGATAAGGTTCTGCCGACCGAAACCTTTCTTAGTACAGTCCAGGGCGCCCTGGGTTGTACTAAGATAGGGTTCTGCCGACCGAAGCCTTTCTTAGTACAGTCCAGGGCGCCCTGGATTGTACTACGGTCAGGGTACCGGTACCCCTGTCTTAGTACAGTCCAGGGCGCCCTGGGTTGTACTAAGGGAGGGTTCTGCCGACCCAAACCTTTCTTAGTACAGTCCAGGGCGCCCTGGGTTGTACTAAGATAAGGTTCTGCCGACCGAAACCTTTCTCAGTACAGTCCAGGGCGCCCTGGACTGTACAACGGTCAGGGTACCGGTACCCCTGTCTTAGTACAGTCCGGGGCGCCCTGGGTTGTACGAAGGGAAGGTTCTGCCGACCGAAACCTTTCTTAGTACAGCCCAAGGCGCCCTGGATTGTACTAAGATACGGTTTTGCCGACCGAAACCTTTCTTAGTATCAGTACAGTTCAGGGCGCCCTGGGTTGTACTAATATAAAGTTCCGCCGACCGAAACCCTTCTTAGTACAGTCCAGGGCGCCCTGGACTGTACTACGGTCAGGGTACCGGTACCCCTGTCTTAGTACAGTCCGGGGCGCCCTGGGTTGTACTAAGATAAGGTTCTGCCGACCGAAACCTTTCTTAGTACAGTCCAGGGCGCCCTGGGTTGTACTAAGATACTTCTAAGGGCGGTGGGTTAATAAGTAGATACATAAGTTAGTAATCGATTGTACAGTTTAGTGGGGATGGCTAGTCTAACATAGCAATTGACCTAAGTGCAGTTAGCAAGGTACAATTACAGAAGTTAGCCAAACACAGTTAACGAAGTTAGCATTTTACTAACAGCACCTTAAAACCATGATGATGCCCATGAGGATGATGAAAAATCCAATGTCGCAATGCAGGGCGATTCGCTCGCAGGCAGGATCAGAACATGAAAACTGTGACAATTCATGTGTCGCCATGCAGGGCGATTCGCTCGCAGGCATATATGCACAACAATCTTTTTTATGGCACGACCAGCATGCTGTCTGCACTCATGCGTTTGAAGAGGCAGGTTCGACTGATCTCGGCCACTCGCATGAACTGGGCTCCGTCCTGCTTGACCCGGAAGAGATTCTTCCCTTGTGGCTCAAGCACACTCAACAGAGCCAGGAGCTCGCCATGCTGCAACCGGCAAAACAACCACACCTCTGCAACGGACCCCGTCTTAAGCAGCACCAGGTCACCCCTCTCGCAAGTCTGTCCTGGGCAGACCTCGGCCTGCATGGCCGACTGCACATGCTCAAGAGTCTGAAACCCGAATGTCTGCCCCAGGTGCCACAGCAAAGTGCCATCAGTGACAGACTTGGGGGACTTCAAATGGGGCCGCATGAAGCCAGCATGCTCAGACAGATCCAGAAGAGCCCTGCCCAAAACATCTTTAAAGAGTGAAGCTTCGAACCAGTCGGTCACTTTCTTCGTGTTGTCAGCAAACTGCTTCACTTGCCGATGCTTTCGTTCGTGTGTAAAACAGGAAATCAGAGGCCTGTCTCGAGCCATCAGGGGAAGATGGAGGCTATAGTGGAACTTCGGTATACAGTGCTGCTCTCCATATGCTTTAAGGAAAGCTTGGCTATGGGCCCGAATCGCATTCTCGAGCTCGTCCGGCGACAGGTTCCCAGTCCGATTGCATTCAAGCAGGAGGTCGAGAACCATACAAATCTTCATAAAGGATCTGATGCATCGCCGAAGTTCGTCGTCCATTGTGTCAAAGTGATGAGTCAGCAAGAAAAGCCGCAGCAAGGGATAGACAGTGATGCACTGCGAAGCCCCGGCCTTGAACTCAGAAGGTTTGCTCCTTTTGTCGAACAAATGCAAGATTTCTCTTCTCCGGTTCTTCAGGTTGTGAGGCCATTCGTACTCTGAGATAAAGCTCTGGATCACCTGAAATGTTGCACCCTGCACATGCAAGAGTGGCAAGAGTAAGCTCAATTCCACGTGCAGGAGGCCGCTTACCACATAACAATGCATCCAATCCCACATCAAGCATTTCACAAGCGGCATGCTTTTGTGAGCAAGCACTCCAGATGGGTTAAAGTTCAACCCCATGCTGGACTCCAGCAAGGCAAAATCCTTTTTGCTCAGCATGGGTTGCCTTCTCGCCAGCAGTGCCTGTGCAGTGAAGATCTGATTGTCGGTTCTGCGGACAAACAGATTGCTGTCGATGCATGATATGTCATGCAATTCTCCCGAGTGGTCATTTGCTGGCAGATCACCGTGGGTCTTGCTTGTTATGTTGGCACATAGCGGGCAAACCAAAGTCCCACTGGAGCCCTTGAAGTCGTACATAGACTTCAAAGCTGCCTCGTCTGCAACTACAGTATGCAGTTTCGCGAAGAACATGACCCGTTCCCCGGTTGGCATGTTCAGCAAACAGCCCGACTGGAGGTTCAGGAACGATTCCGAGGAGACCAGAATGTGGGTGAGTGCAGACAGCCCGCCTTGGATCTTGTTCACCACCGAAGACCGAGTCAAGTTCAAAGGAAACCAAAGGTTTTCTTGGCATCGGCCTTCAGCATCAAACTCGAGAAAACTGAGGTAGTACCCTTGGATCTTCCTGGTGTTGCTGGCTTTTAGCTGGTTGCCAGGACTAATCTCATCATTGTATAAAGCCATTCGCCATGGGCTGGTTGCTGTGCACGGGTACTTCGATAGCTGCCTTTGGAAAAAGGCAGCTACACCAGGCATGGACTGGCAAACATGCCATATCCATGCCATCAGGTTGAGGATCGGCAGCTCTGTCGGCACGATCTTCACCTCCTCGTCTCCAGCTGCCTTTCGGCTCTTCACCTCCACAGGTACTGTAATCTTGGCCACCAAAGGGCCATGAGGAGTCTCTGCATCCAGCTCGGAATCCCGTGCCCTTTTGATGCCTCGCCGGGAGGCTGAGTCAAGGACTTCAGGGCATGCAGCCACTTCCTTCAGTACTGCCTCCAGAGCACTCTGGCTCACATAGTGCTTTCTGCCGATGGTAGCGAGCGACATAGATTATAAAGATGGCTGCCCGCGAGCAAAATGCCCTGCAGGCACCGGATATTAGAAGTAACAATTCTTACAATAAATATGTTTGTACATACAACATGTGTCAACCTGTCTATAAATCCTTGTCCCCACGAAACCTTCTTCAACACAACAAAAACCTCTGGATGCACGTATGATACAATGTATGCACACGATCTAATACAACTAATTTCTTATAATGGCTGGACTATATCTACCAATATATAATATCACGTATATATAATATATATGTATATATATATATATATGTGTGTGTGTAAGTATGTAATATACATACATATATGTATATATATACATATATATATATATATATATATACAGGAGATATTTATACTTGCAATGCAGCATCAGACCAATCTGCAAGCCGATCCGATCACTCAGGTTTACATGCTGCCTGGCAAGACACACACACATGCAGCAGAAGAGGCAACATGATGTGCATAAGTGCATGCCTGCATGATGATCTTTTCCTCCCTCTGTGCTGCAGTCGACGAGTTC